AAAAAAAAAAAAAAAAAAAAAAAAAAGGAAAATTGTCTGGAGAAGAAAAACTACAAGAGAAAAAAAAAGAAAAAAGAACTGAAAGAAAAGGTAAAGGAAAGAGAATGGATAATGAAAAACAGTCAAACAAGCACAAGTCAACAAAAGAAAAAAAAAGGGGGGGGGGGGGGGGGGGGGGGGGGAAGGATAAAGACAAGCAAACAGAGAGTTGCTGTTAAGTACGATCGATGGAGGGTTGTTGGTTGATGCATTCAAAACGACAAAAGGGCCAGATGCATACAAGCACAAGCCAACGAAAGTAAAAAGGGGGGATAAAGACACAAACGGAGAGTTGCTGTTAAGCATGATCGATGGAGGGGTCAAATACATCCACATACATCCAAGAAAACGGTCAGATACATCCAGGAAAGGCCAGTCCAAAGGCAGGGGAAGCAAGCAGGCAGAGGAGGCAGGGCGGATCGTTTATTTATTTATTTATTTGTTTATTTATTTATTTATTTATTTATTTATTTATTTATTTGTTTATTTATTTATTTTAAATCATGAATTAAGGGGATGGCCCCGAAAAATGGACGAAATTATGAGACGAGGAGAAACGACACGAGAGAGAAGGGAGAGAAAACAGGATTGAAAGAAAACAGTCCTACCTTCTTCCCGCGAACAGAACGTACGGTCAATTTCGGTGCACCTGGACTGAAAGGTGAGCCAAATACCCGGCTGTAATGACCGTATGTTACATTCGGGGGAAGACGGAAGCACAATTTGAGATTGGGATAAAGAACCAGAAAATTGTGGACATGATGATAGTTAAGGGGGAAAAGAAAAGTCAGGGAATATCCTCAAACTAGGGCTTTTTTGGGATGTACCTGACCCTTTCTTCTATCTAAGATTCGACCTGAAAGATCCTAGTCCGCATGTGCCCTAGCTTATTAGTCTTCACCCACATTATATTATTATCATCATCATCATCATAATAAATTATTAATAATAATAATAATAATAAATACTTACACACACACACACACTAATGTAGTAATAAAAACAGTAATCAATATTAATAATAACAAAAAACTGAAACATCCCCACAAAATACAATAATACGTCATAATAATAATAATAATAATAATAAGAGTCAGAATAAGAATACATAATACTTGCTTCGAATGCCGTTTCAAAACTTGAGGCTGTAGAAAACATCATAATAAAAAATTGAGGCTCCACTTCCTTGACTGATGGCAGCTGGAGTTGGAGAAAGGCCCTGAGGAGAAACCTTATTTGCGAATCTCCTAATCATCATCATCATCATAATAATAAATATAATAAATAAATATAATAAATAAATATAATAAATAACACTTACCCACAGGGTTGCCAGGCCGAACGTACGTAGGCCCCTAAGCTGACCCCCGAACGTTCCGGCGTTCGGGTTCCCGTACGTGGCCCGAACTCGAAGGGGTTCGGACCCCGCAAAAAATTATTTTGACAACTAAATATTATTATTTTTTTCTGATTTTTTTTGGTGAGTTCTTTGTTGTGATGTAAGGTATCTCCCTCTTAATTTTGAAGCCATTCTGTTCAGCCAAAAGACAATGAAAAATCCTCGAAGATGGTGGTGTCAAAACTTGCTTGCCCACTCACTAATTTGTTTTTTCTCTCTTTTCACTTTTTGTTTTTCCTTTTTGTTTTTCCTTCCTTTCGCGGCATGAAAAAAAATATTATTTTTTCAAACTTTATTTGTAGATTCTCTATTATGTAAGATACACATATATAAATTTTCATGGCTACATATACAAATTTTCATGGCATTTGTCACAGCCAAAAAAACATGAAAAATCGCCAAAGATGGCGGTGTCAAAAACGTGCTCGCCCACTCAATAATTTCATTCTCGTTTTATTTTTTCTAATTTTCATTATTATTATTTATTTTTAGTATTTGATTTTTATTTCAAATTTGGTAAAGAATTTGGATGTAACGTTGAGGCAAATGTTGTTTAATTTTTTCAGATTTTTTGGAATTCGTTTTTTTTTTTCTTTCTTTTTTTTTTTTTTTTGGTCCGCGTTCGGCCGAACGGCCGAACGCGTCAAGAGAGGGTGCCAAACGTTCGGGCGTTCGGGTTCGGGCGTTCGGCCCGTCCCGAACGCCGGCAACCCTGCTTACCCACATAATAACAATATAATAATTATATAATAATAATACAGTAATAAATAGTGATCATAATAAATAGTGATCATAATAAATAGTGATCATAATAAATAGTGATCATAATAAAAATAAAACTTGCCCACACATTATTTTATACGTCATAATAAAAATAATATCAAGAATAAACAAATAAATACTTACTTTGAATGCCGTTTAAAAAGTTGAGGCTCCAATTCCTCCACGGATGGCAGCAGCAGTTGCAGAAAAGCCCTCAGGAGAAATCTTATTTGCGAATCCCCCGCAAACACAATCCACGTGTCACGCAATAACCGCATAGCCTGCATCAAAAACCTAGTTCGAATCCTTATTGAATCCTACTGATTGAATCCTACATACATCCACGTCATGTCCACGTCATGTCCACGTCATGTCCACGTCATATCCATGTCATATCATTGATTGCTGACAACACAATCTCATCGACGACGGTGCCTGGAATGTGAACCCTACGTACATCGTCGTGACGAGGGACATACAATAAAAAGCACAAGAGTAAAAGGCGGCAGCAGCATAGACACCAGAGGCATTTCCTAAAGACCTAATTAATCCCGATTAGGCGTGATTGGCTTGTTCCAAGAAAGCCATGCCTCCAAGAGAAACACGTTGGAGGCGCGCACACGTACACGTGGACACAAGTTGTCGCAGCCACACACATACACGCAAGAGTCCGCAAGCAAGCATGAGGAGCATGAGTGAGTCCGCCTGGAGTTTGCTTGCGCACACACGCACGCGCACACGGCTCCACGTGCTCCCCGCGCGCTCTCGCGCACTGTGCTTAGACGTCCTCCCTGCCCCGCGAGCTCGCGCACACGATTCTCCGTTCTCCCCGCGAGCGTGCGCACAGGCACAGCCATACACAAACTCTTGGAGCGCAAGAAGGGCAAAGCGGAGTTTGGGTGGACCACAAACCTCTGCCACAGAGGGGGTGGGAGGAGGGGGGAGGAGGGGGGAAAGGGAAGGGCGGGNGGGGGGGGGGGGGGGGGGGGGGGGGGGGGGGGGGGGGGGGGGGGGGGGGGGGGGGGGGGGGGGGGGGGGGGGGGGGGGGGGCAAAGGGGAGCGTGGTCGAGAGCAGTTGCAGGCGGGAAGAGAAAGAACCAGCGGAAAAGATATCGCACAAACAATTCGACTGCTGGACAAGAGAGAGACGTTAAGAGCAGTCTTGAACCATACATACCTCCACGCACGGTACCAACGACCCAATATCCTTCATACCATACCTCGAGGTATGGTTTTCGGACCGCGCACCATTTTCCGTACCATACCTCGAGCCTCGAGGTATGTTTCGAACCAAGCAGCGGTCTTCGTACCATTCCGTACGCACCGAGCAACATTTTTCCAACCATACCTCGAGGATGGGGATGAGGAAGTCATAGCTTGGCCCTGACTGGTCTCGCGGTTCACTGTTATATCTTGTGAAGACCACTTGCGTCGAGATTACTTTCACATATCGCGCTTTTGCGTGCATGACTTTGCATGTTACCTTACGCGTTTGCGAACGAGTCAGACGCGACGCTGACTTTGCTTCTTCGTCTTCATACCTCGAGGAATGGTTCGAACCGCGCAACATTTTTCTTACCATACCTCGCTCGGGGCATAGTACGAACCTCGAGGCAACAGTGTCTCCGCCGTCCCATACCATACACACTGATGAGCAATAACAACATTCGGCCTAACCCTAAACCTCGAGGTAGGATACGAATCGAGGGTTAGGGTACGAATCGAGGGGTAGGGTACGAATCGAGGGCTAGGGTACGAGGGGTACGAATCGAGGGGTAGGGTACGAATCGAGGGGTAGGGTACGAATCGAGGGGTACGAATCGAGGGGTAGGGTACGAATCGGAGGGTACGAATCGGAGGGTACGAATCGAGGGTACGAATCGAGCAACATTCTCCATTCCAACTTCTTTTGTTTGCTGCGGACATTTTTTCCCTTTTTTTCTTTTTTTTTTTGGTTATCTTAAGAACGGCAACATTCGTCCAATCTAATCGTGGAAAGCAAACCAACTTTTTACTGCCAACATTCGTTTTGCCATCAACGAATTCATTTTCCTTTTTCGTTTCATCTTTTCAACTAGTTTTTCTTTTCTTTTTTTTTTTTCGCAAAGATCGGTGCCCGCGCAAACATTCTGCCTATCCCTAAACCTCGAGGTAGGGTTCGAACCAACCAACATTCTCCGTTCCATCCTTCTTTTTTTTTTTTTTTTTTTTTTAATGTCACGTTCAGCTCATATCTCGGTTAATGAATCACGCCACAGGAGGCCACAAGGGAGGAGGGAGGAGGGAGGCGGGAGGAGGGAGGAGAGTGTCACAGATACTTGGAACTCAGGCTCCAACCGGCCGAACAAGGCCGGTGTCGGGCCGTAGTAGGGCTGTGAATTAGAGTTAGGGGTTATAATTCCTTATATTGGAATGGCTATTACTAGTGTGTTGTTTCTTGTTACTAGACATCCCATTTTTCACTTATTTTCAGAGATTAGTGCCAAAATAGGCGTTTTGTTCACCTTCTTCACTCTAGTTACTGGAAGTTTTTGGGGAAAAACTATGTGGGGAACCTTTTAGACTAGAGATAGCTGAGAAATAGGATTTGCAGAAGAGTGTGTAGCATGGATACAAACAGAAGGGAAGAGATGCAGAGACAATTTCGAAATGTTTGGAAGTGATAGCATATAGATGGATTCGTGTCTGGAAAGAAAAGAGGGAATTTGATTCGATAAGCGAAACTGGCTAAGTAAGGCTGGCAGGAAGGATAACTCTGGGTCGAATTGTGAGGTCCCCGGCCTCGATCTAATGTGTTTAATACAATTGTTCTCGTTTTTGCTTTTTTCACAATTGGGAGTGGCATACGGGCACTTCCACAGCAGATTCTGAAAATGAAGAGTGAGTTGCCAGAATCCCTTTTGTACAAAAATGGCAAACGGAAGGAGGCTCGTACAGTTTCTCTTAAAAAACGCCCTTTTGGCAAAAGGAACAAGAGGGTCGTTGAGCTAGCTGTCTCGGAAAAAGGAGACAGCTACGAGACGAAGTGGCGAGGGTAGGGGGAGTAGTATTCGAGAGAAAGGATTTACTTCTGCTTTTTGTTGTAAGAAAAAGCAAAGATAGTCTCTATTGCCTTTTTTTATTAAAAACGGACCGCTAGATGACTTGGACGACGTGCATCTCCGTTGTCGCGTACAGTCACACATCGTCGAAAGCCACAGCTCTATTGTTGACCTAGCTCAACGGAGCTACTGGGACAAGGTCCCTGGGGAGCAAACCATCTTTTTACTGCCAACATTTAGTATTTTGCCATCGAGGAAATTCTTTTTTTCTCTTTTTTTTAAGAAAGGTGACAGCATTGAGATCTCATCATTGAGAACTGACCGGCCCTAGGTAAAATTCACAATTGTGGTACTTTACTAGTCTGGAGTTCGAACTCAGGTTTGTATTTCGACAGCATCGAGGAATTGTCGTTTCATCTTTTTTCGAATTTTTTTTTCTCGCAAAGATCGCCACATATCATCATCATCGAGAACTGACCGGCCTTAGGTAAAATTCAGAGTTGTAGTAGTACTTTACTCGTCTAGAGATCGAACTCAGGTGTGTATTTCAAAAACATCAAGGAATTTTCGTTTCATCTTTTTTTTCGATTCTTTTTTTCTCTCAAAGAAAAGATCGACGCCGAGCAACAATCCTCGCTACCATACCTCGAGCCGAGTCCATAGCCGAAAGCCGCAGGAAGCCTCCACGTCAGCACGCCAGCACCAAGCCTTCCCATCGTCCACATTCAACGTATTGTTCTCGTCGTCCTGCGAAGCCGCCACCACCACCGTACCCCTCTCCTCTCCCTCCTCCTGCGCCTTCTCCTCCTCCTCCCCCTTGCGCTCTACTTCCGCTTCCTCCGCGCCATCCCCGCCCCCATGCGCACAGCTTCCCGCCACCCATTCACATTCGCTAAGTCTCGAGATACACGGACAGCGCGCCACTCTGCCGCCATCATTGAAATCCGCCGAGCTGTCCTTTACTGCCACGTCATACTGCGACGCAGGAGACGGTCCAGGTGTCCCGACCCCGGCCAAGAGAAGATGAAGTAGCCGGGAGAAGAGTAACAGAACGAGAACCAGAGATCCGACGGTCACTCGTTTATCTCCAAGTATAATCCCGCCAACCCCATGCGCTTCACCGCAGGAACGACCGGTCGTTCGCGTTGATTGCGTAGACGCGATGGGTAGGCTAGAAAGCCAGCTGAGTGGACGAGAGAATGGAGGAGGAGGAGGAGGAGGAGGAGGAGAGGAAAGAGAAGATGTCAGAATGGGGCAAAAATCACCCTGCGCGACCGGTCGGCGAATCGGCGATACCAAGGCGGCGACCTCCAACGTTTCTGGCGCCATCTCCTTCCGGCTTATCAACCGTGAAAAGCCATCTGCTCTGCTTTCCCCCTTCCTAACCCACCTACTCTCCCACCCACTCCGAACCTCCCCCCACCTTAATCAAGGTCAGTCAACGAATTTACCGACCGATCAATCACAGTTAAAAATGGCATTTACCCCCATCACGGATGCCTCGAGGAGGCATAAACGCCAGCTGGGCGATTACTTCCCGCCATCGGAGGCACTACCGGTCGTTGGCCGTGCCGGTGGTCGCTGCTGACTATGCGCGCGACGACGCGAGTTCAAGCTCGAGTTTCTCAATGCGCGCGCACGCAATGCGCAGATCGCGACAACGACCGCGCCGCCCCCGCCGACTCAAAGCTCGGGGGACAAAGTACCGTCACCAGCATCAGCAAACCCATCCAATCAACCAATCAGCAACCCATCCAGTCCACCAATCAACCACTTAGCAACCAATCCATTCAACCAAGCATCCAATCAGCAAGCAATCCAATCAAGCAATCAACCAATTCAATCGAGAGGCATCCACGCTATCTTGCCGGCGCGGCTCCGTGCCTGCACCACCAGTAGGCATCCACGCTGTCAAGAACCACGTGTACCTCGGAACGAGCCTCCGCGGCGCCAGCGTCCGCTCTTAGGGGTGGACCGCACTGCTCGGCGCCTGGAAAAACAGGTTGGCCACAAAAAGCGGGCTACCAAGTTTGGAAACTATGGGGGGGTTCAGTGGGACCCCACCGCGAAGGTCGGAGGGGGGGGTGCGGTGCATGACCTTCCTCTGTTCTTGGACCAGGACATGTTCGCAGCCCGTCAGGGTTTCTATTTTATGCCCTGGAGACCTTCAACGTCAATTCAATTCAACTTTCAACGTCGGTGGTCGTTGGGGGGCTGGGCAGTTTTGACGTGAGGGCTTAGCGAGGGGTGGGGCATGCGAAGGACCGGTGGCTGCCCGTAGGAGGCCGAGGAGGCCACGGTCCCTGAGTTCGCAGCCCGTAAGGGATGCGTTTTATCCCCCTGAGACTTTCAACGTCATTGAGATTGTCTACCACATGGGCGTGGGGAACTCAGCCCTAAGGTAGCCAAAGCAATGAGACACAAGAGAGAGAGAGAGAGAGAGAGTTTTGTTCCATTTGTTTATATGAGTGAGAGAGAGAGAGACAGAGAGTGAGAGAGAGAAAGAAAGAGATAGAGAGAGAGGGAGGAGGGGGGGCTACCACATACACACACACACAAAGAGAGAGAGAGAGGCTGAATGGCAAAATTGAAATATGGGTCAAATTGCGGCCGCGATCTATTTCACAGTTGGAATGATCTTTTAAATTTTATTTAGCATTTTTTCTGGAAAGATCACAACAAAATCTACGAGTGATCCAATTTTCAGGTTTTTTCACGCATTCTTCTGAGCACGAAAACTCTTTGAATTTGGAGTATTTTTTACAGTTGACCCACGCATGGCTGAGTGGCAAAAATAAGGAATGTGTCGAATCGGCGCGACGATTTTTTGACGGTCTAAATGATTTTTTAAAAATGTTCTGATATTTTTCCTGGAAAGAACACGACCTTATTTATGGATTCTCAAAATTTCAGATTTTTCTATGAATTGCTCCGACCACAAAAAATCGTTAAAGTTGCCTCTTGCAAAACGTCTGTTGCGTTGCGCCTGACCTCCCTGCTTTCAAAAGACGGGCCTCAACACCTGGGCCGGAGGGCCCTTTTGCAGCTCACATGCCCTCACTTCTTTTTGGGGTCCGCTTCCACCTCAGGACCGGTCCTTCCTTTTTTCAAAAGTCCCGGTTCTACAAGAGTTAGTTGTAGGTAGTCCGTAATTTTGCCAAGAATCGGTCCCCCAAATTCCCCCCCCCACCTAACAACCCACTTTGCGTCCTGGTCGCCCGCCGCTGAAAATGTGACACCTTGATACGAACGTTGAATCCCACTATACCGTAGCTGTAGGGCGGCGAATTTCACCGTCGTTTCGAAGGGTGGGCATTTTAAGGTTTTGAGGCTTAGCAAGGGGCGGGGCATGCGAAGACCAGTAGCTGCCCGTAGGAGGCCAATGAGTTTTAAACATTCCGAGCTCGAAACGGTGTGGGTCCACTTTTCTCAAATGGAAGAACAGCTCGAATAGAACACATGCACTTTGTGTTCGATTACAACATGTACCCTTTCCACCCGAATTTCAAAAAGGAAAAACTCTTGTATTCAAATATAACATTACGTTGTTTTTTTTTTTAAGGCAGCGCCGGCCCTTGTGCTCCCCGCCACTGACATGCTCCATGTTTCAGGTCTCTCTCTCTCTCTCTCTCTCTCTCTCTCTCTCTCTCTCTCTCTCTCTCTCTCTCTCTCTCTCTCTCTCTCTCT